ACCACCAGCCTTCTGGTTAGCAGTCAAGTCCCTCAAAGATGATGGTGAAATTAGGACATTTCCAGATGAGCAGAAATTAAAGGAATTTATTAAGAGAGCATAATGGTCAAAGCAGGCATTTTTTACTAGTTAAGCTAGACCTACTTTTTGCTTTTAAGAAGATTACAGGGCATATTTTTGGTTAAAGTTTAAAGATTATCTTAATGCACTGCCATCGAGTTGGATCTGACTCGTAGCCACCCCTCCTTTGGTTTCTGAGGTGGTATCACTACAGAAGCAGATTGCCCAACCTTCCTTCTGAGGAGTGACTAGTGGGTTTGAACCACTAGCCTTCAGGTTAGCAGTCAAATGGCTTAGGCACTGTGCCACCAGAGCTCCATTCTTATTATCCAACTCAGTGGCAGTGTGTTAAGATAATCTTTAAACTTTAACCAAAAATATCCCCTGTAGTCTTCTTAAAAGCAAAATATAGTAATTTCAGGGGTTCATGCAGCCTCCATGGCTCCAGAAAATCGGGATTCCATAAGATTTAAAAACTCTGTTTGGCATTTTCCTCATTTTGATTAGGATTCTTCTATAGTATCTTTGATCAAAATGTTTGGTAACAGTAGCCAGGCACCATCTAGTTCTTCTGGTCTCATGGCAAACTTGGCAGTTGTTCATGGAGGCAATTAGCTGCACATTACTCCTCCCATTCCTGATTTTCCTTTTTCATTTGTTGTTCCAGGTGAATAGAGATCAATTGTTGTTCCTTCAATGGGCACTTACAATCTTTTAATACCCCAGGCACTATGCAACAAACTTATTAGGTTAAAACAAACATTATTAGGTCAATTAACTCTATGTCCCATGAAACAATGATCCTAAACCTCTAAACCGAGGAACCAAACCCCATGAGGTTTTTGGTTATACACAAGCAGCCTCAGCAGCAGTTACTCTGTTATTTTTTCATTGTTGTTGTAAACATATCTAACACACAACTTTTGCAAATTCAACTTTTTACATATGTACAACTTACAGCAAGTGCAATAATTGTCTGAGGTTGCAGGTTATTTTCCCACAACACTTTAACTACGTTGCTTCATTGTCTTCCTGAATCTGGTATTGCTGATAAGAAGTATGATGCTAATCTGTTTTCCATTCTTTTGTGGATGACACATCCACCTCCCACTCCTGTTACTTTTAGGATTTTTTTCTTTTTCTTTTTCTTTTTTTTTATTAGGATTTGGGTGAAGATTTACAGAGTAAATTCACTTTTCATACAGCAGTTCACATATACTTTGTCTCATGTCATTGACCAAAATTTACAATGCAGCAGCTCCCCTCCCACTTCCTCCCCATAGTTACCTCCTCCCAGTGTCCATCCCTTCATACTCTTCTGCACCCCGAGCCATCTCCCTGTGCATAAGCAGCCCTTCCTTCTCCCATGCTTGTTCTCTCCAGGGCATGTGTCTACTTGAGGTAAATGTTTAACTCACATGCCTGTACTTTGTTTGGCTGGAAACCACAGTTGTGGGTTCAATTCCAGACCTGAAGGGCAACTAGGGGCCATAGTCTCAGTGGTTACACCACGCTCTATTGGACCAGCAAACCTGGTCCCCGCCTTCTTTTTTTTTTTTTTTTGCCTAGGATTTTTTTCTTGATCTTAAATGTTCTGAAATTCCACTCCAATGTGTGAGAGTACAGATTGGTGAAGTATCATGTATGTCTCTATCATAATTGGTCCATACAATTCCCTCTCTTGTTGTTTACTCATTCTTTTTATTTTCATTCTCCATTCCTGCCCCCACCCTAGGCAACCACTATAATGTATTTCCTGTGAATCCTTTGGTTTCTATAAGTTATTGTAAAATATATTAATTTTTTTGTGTGCATGTGATATAAATGATACCATTCTGTATACTTGATTCTGTTTCTTAATCTTTTATTCAGAACAAACTTTCTAAGACTTTCCCATGTTGCTAGGTATACATCCAGTCTGGTGTTGCATAAAACCATGTTTTTGAATAGTGTTAGTTTTTAAATTTTTACTGTTTTTTTTTTTTTAATAATTTTGTGGACCTTTGTAGTCTTAGACATATATTTTTTCACTTTTTCACAATTATCAACCATTATTTCTTCTATTTTATTTTCTTTATTGTTTAATTTGTCCCTTTATTCTGTTTATTATCTTCTTTAATAAACTTCTGTAACTGTTCTCCATGTCTCTCTCTTTTTTTAACTTTTTATTGTTATTTGGATATAATTTACAAAGCAGATTTGTCTTACATTCTGCACTTCATACACATTTTTAAAATTTATTTTTATTATTATTTATTATTTTTGCAATGTTCCCTCCCCTCTCCTCCCACCCCTATTCTCCATGTCTCTTAAGTTTTATTTTACACTTCCCATATCTTTATTATTTGTGCCCTATTCTAGTGGAATTCCTTGGCCTCATCTTTCATTTAATTAATCTGCTTTTTCAGCTATTTAGAAAAATAATGTTTTGGTTACCTAGTGCTGCTCTGACAGGGATATACCACAAATGGGATGGCTTTAACAAACAGGAGTTTATTCTCTTACAGTTTTGGAGGCTAGAAGTCCGAGTTCAAAGTTCTAGGCTGTAGGGGCTGAGTGAAAACCCCTTGACCTTGGGCTTCAGCTTGCCTCTTCTTAGTGGCCCACTGAAGCTAGAGGCATCTGTTCACTTAGGCAGCTGCTAGTTGCTGAGGCTGACAAACCCAACGTCAACAAATGAAAAGGCACAGTCCCAATATTACCAAACCACACGCAGGCCATTAATTCAAGTCCATTAAAAATCCCAAGATTGGCAGGGCAACATGGCAGGCTGCTGAATCTAGTGCAAGAGAGATGACTACATACAGGGTTCAAGCGTGCCATCAGCTGGAGACCTTCCTCAAAGTTTGCTTCTTATATACTGGAAGCAGCCCACATCCCTAAAGCAGCTACTCAGCTGCTCCAGAGATTCCACCATGGAGTTAATTACCAATCTCACTATGGGAAATAACTACATCCAGCTGCCCAGCCAAATTGACATACAACCACAAATAGCATATATTTTTATTTCTAAGATCACTAATTGGTCCTTCTTCTTAACTACCTATTCTGGTTTCTTCTATATGATTTGTTACCACGTCAAGAAGAGTAAATACATAGTTTAACTACAAATCATAGTTCATTATAAATTCTTAAAATAATATTAATGAATATATTCTTAATAAAGTTCTTTTATGATTATTTTGTTAGTTTTTCTTCTTCAAGTGTAAGTCTAAAGCCCTATTATCATTGTTTTATTAGTACTGTTTCTTCTGGTTTCAATTATTCATTTGTTGAATTTTTTTTCTATCTTTCATTGTATTGGCTTTCCTTAATTGTTTGGTTATTTTTGAATACATTATAATCTTTGTATTTGAGATTCCCTGTTAGACTGTAGGAGAGTGGAAAGTTAATGCTATGACTTACACTATTTCCAGTGAGTGCAGGAGAGATGTTTAGCTCACAGGTAGGGCACCTTGAAAGCTGGTCTTCTGGTTATAGGATCTATTTCTCTAAGATGTCACTGTTTACTTGGGATATTCTTTCCCTAGCTAGCTACACCATCTTCTGAAGAAGAATTTTCCTTTGCATAGCTGTATTACCCTCTGTGTCAATAGTTCACTTTGAGTCATTCTCAGTCTGAATCCTCAGTTTCTGTTCTACTGGGAGTTCTCTGTCTTGCATCTAAGTGTCCTCACGTGCATGAATTTCCTATTTCTCTTTATCTAGTTCCCATCGCTTTGGCACAGGAGAGGAAGACCTCAGCATGTTCTCAGTCCATCACCTTAAAACCAGGAGTTTCGTGTTGTTTTTTAACCATCAGTATGTTTTCCTTATTTTGCCTATAAAGAGCTCTGGTTGCATTGTGGTTAAGGCATGGGGCTGGTAACCAAAAAGTAGGCAGTTTGAAACCACTAGCCATGCTGCAGGGTTATGGCCTTGGAAACCCTCTGGGAGTCACTAGATTCAGAATCTTCTCAATGGCAGTGGGTTTTGGTGTGTTTGTTCTGGCATTTTGCCTATAGGTTGAGTTTTAAAGTTGAAATATCAAGAAACACTACTTTATTATAACTGTGAAAATACTGTGTACTGCACAATGTATTCTCTAGTTACAATTAATTTTGGTATGGTTTTTTAAAGGTGTAATTTCTAAGTATCTCATCCCTCCTTTTTTTTCTTTCTCTACATTTACCATTTTTTAGATTGTTATGAATTCTCAAACGTAGTACACATTCAATGTCTGGAATTCTCTTTTTTCTTGGGATCTCTCTCTCTCCTGGGACCTTTTCCCCCTCTCTTACTCCAAATTAGACCAATTGTTCTCTAGATATCTTTCTAAGATCTTCCTCTTGGGATCCACTGTATCTTGAATTTCATGTCTTCCCTATTCCTGGCTTAATCATTTATTTTGATACAGAATGCCCTCAAGTAATTTTCAAAGCAAGTGGGGAAAGTTGCTGAGTCTTTTTATGTCTAAGAATACTTTAATTCCACACTCACCCTTGATTAATACTTTGGTTGGGCATAGAATTCTAGGTTGAAATTTTTCCCCCTCAGAATCTTGAAGAGGTTCTATTGTCTTCTCCTCTCTGGTGTAACTCTTGAGAAATCTGATGTCTGCATGTTTCTTTTTCCTTTGTAGTTGAGCTATTTTTCTTTTTAATCTCTCTGGAGGCTTTTAGGATTTTCTTTTTTCACTTTACTGTTCTATAATTTCACAAGAAAATATCTAAGTGTTAATGTCCTGGATACTCAGTTAACTCCATATAAAGACTGGAAAGTTTTCTTGCATTATTTCTATGATAATTTCCTCCCTTTCTTTTTTTTTCTGTTCTCTCTCTGAAAGTCCTATTATTCAAACTTCAAAATCTTCTCCATTAATCCTTTTATCTTTTCTCTCAGATTTTCTGTTTTTGTTTTGAAGGTAGATTTTTATTTTAAGTGTTATCATCAAATTTCACTCCAACTGAGGTTTAGCATTTTTGGGAAATTATTACCTTGAAAGTCATGACCTGGTCTTGGAATAAAACATGGTAGTGTCTTTGATACACTTCACTGTCATCACGATGTGGTCAAGTCTATGGATAACACATGAGGGAGGAGTCTGACTGCTGTCTTTCCACAACTTAAAAAAAAAAAAAACAGAGGAGATTACATTGCCACTGGTTACTGTCATGTCTTTTTCTTCTCACCTCCCCTTAACTCTATAATTACTACACTTTCTCCTCACCCCTATTTCAAGGTAAAAGCCCTGGGAGAAAACTTTAGTAGAGTCTTATTGCCCATGTGTGGATGAACAGGAGTCCACATGTCTCCACTGTTTTATTGTTCTATTTCTCCCTCCAGAGGTATAGAGGTGAAGATAAGGGGAGTGGAGATCAAGACCAACTCTGCCTTTGTGTTCTGCAAACTGGAATCCATCTCTTTTCCAAGAAACCACAAGACACAAAAGAGACCCAATCCTATGAGTACAAGCCCTCCATTGGCCTAATTTAACCCAGCCTCATTCCTTACCACTCTACAGCTATGATCACAGAGGACAAGATGAGAAGGAAGCGTCCTAGATGAAAGAAATGTTTCTGGGCATGTGTATTTATGGATTCATCTCAACATCTAGTAGAAGGATGTGCCTCTCCCCTAACCTGCCCTCAATACACTCCTCATCAGATATTTCTCTTGTATTTCACATCTTTCATTTGTTAGTAATTTGTATATTTACATCTGCTGTAAGGGAGGTCTGGTGGTGTACTAACTAAGGCATTTGACTGCTAACCAGAAGCCTGGTAGTTCAAATCCACCAGCTACTCCTCGGAAGGAAGACTGGGCAATCTATTTACATAGACATACCACCTCGGAAACTCAAGGAGGGGTCATTATGAGTCGGAACCAACTTGATAGCAGTGAGGGTTTTTTTTTTTTTAAAGATTCTAAAGTTCCTGTGCTATGGCACTATAGGTAGTAGAGTATAGTAGTTAAAAGAATAAGTTCTGGAGCCAGCATGATATTTAATTGATTTCTCTGTGCTTTGATTTCCCTTCTGAAAATGGGCAGAACTGTATACATATTTTATAAGATTGTTGTGAATATTCTAAAAAATTTTGTAATTTTTTTTATGGGCTTAGAGTAATGCATGTCATATAGCAAATGTTATGAAAGGTTAGCCATTATGTGATGATGATGATGTTAAAAACCAGACTCCCTACTCTGACCCCCAACTTCTATAACTTCATCCATTTCTCTTGACCTCTACACCACACTACTGTCCTTTGGCCTGTTGCTTACAAGTGTTGTTTTTGTATCTTTAGCTTTGGGGCCTTTGCACATGCTAATATATGTCTCCAATAAATAAATGGAATAAAACTTCAAAAGGATAGATATTTCTGTTTTGTTCCCCACTGTGTCCAAACAGCTAGCAGATGTTCAATAATATTTGTTCAATGAATGACTATCCACTACAACAATTAGACCCAGTGTCAGCCACAAAGTAAAGTCTGGCTGTTTTGTTCTGTTCTATTCTACTCCATTCAAACCATTATACTTTAAATAATTTGTTTCTCTAAGTTCCAGCTAAAAAAAATTCTATTTTCATGAGTGAATGAGGTACTAGTCATACTGTTGAGTTATGCTGTGCTTGTGGGTGCAAAGAATCTATACAGACACAGAAGCAGTGGGATGAGAAAATGACTGACATTTAGACTTCTTTAAAATTAAGTCATACATAAAAAGTCTTATCTTTTTATTGGGACCTCTGGGGGTGCAGTGCCTAAGGCATTTGACTGCTAACCAGAAGGCTGGCGGTTCAAACCCACAAGCCATTTCTTGAAAGGAAGATGGAACAATCTACTTCTGTAGTGATACCATCTCAGAAACCCAAGGAGGGGTCGCTATGAGTCAGATCTGACTCGACAGCAGTGAGTTTATCCTTTTATTATCTGTAGGATCTATGATAACATCCCCTTTCAGTCTTGATACTGGTAATTTGTATTTTCTCTTTTAATTTCTTGAGCAAAATCAGCAATTATTAGTATCATTAATTTTTTCAAAGAAACACCTTTTTTTATTAGAAGACAGTTTACTTATTGTTATCTGAGCAAGCACCAACGCCTACCAAACTAGTTCGTCCAGCCACATGTATTCCTATCCTAGAGAGAAGTCCTATTAATGACATTTTCCTGCAACTCCGTGATCCATTATACACTAACCCCTCCACATCTTAAACAAGAGAAAGGGGACTGTGAGGACTGCAAATTGGCACTTGTAGGGCTACAGGTAAGCTGCCGATATGTTTTGTTTGCCCCAACTTTTGACATTGTTTATTTTCTCTGTTCTATATATGCTTCCTATTTCACCAGTTTCTGATCTTATCTTTATAGTTTCCTTCCTTCTACTTTCTTAAGGTCCACTTTGCTGTTCGTTTTCCAGCTTCTTTATATGGAAGCTCAGGTCACTGATTTTCAGCTTTTCTTCTCCTCTATGCATGTAGATCTATGCATTTAGGGCTATAAATTTCATCTAAGCACTGTTTAAGCAGCGTCTCCCTTACCCCCTGCCACCATTTTTATGTCTATTGGAAATAAACTCCATCTTCTCCTCCCAGCATTCAATGGCCTGCCAGCAGACCCTGCTTTGTAGACTCGGAGCTCCAGGTAGCCCAGATTTCAAGGATGAGCAGGAGTGGATCTTTTAAGGAACAGAAAGGCCAGTGTGGATTGGAATCCAAGAGAAAATGAGGATGAGCTGGAGAAGGCAGGGGCTACATAATGCAGTGTCTTGGAGGCAAAGTTAGGGAGCCTGGTTTATAAAAAGATGATCAAGATATAGTCAGCATATACAGTTTACTGTGCACCAAGCCTTATTCTAAGCACTATAAAAATATAATCCATTTTATTCTTCATATCAACTCTATTAAATAGGTATAGTCAAAGTGCCCAGAGCACAATGCCCTGCCTCATTCTACCTCTTCCACACAGGAAAGTGTCTGTCTTCCTATAAAGCCCTCTTCAGGTCCCCTTTGGAGTGTCAAGGGCCCGTGGAATTCTTTGGGCAAACCCCAAGGTCAGTGTTGTGGTTCCACATGGCCCCATCATGATAGCCTCAAGAATAACTTCCATGAGCCACTTTTGTGTCTACTCACCTATCCCTGGTTGAATTGATTACCCTTCAGTCCCCCTAGGGAGTAGCCAGCCCTCAGCTCAGGCCTGCTGATGTGATTACATCTGATCAGGCTCTCAGGCTGCTAGAGTGGAGTCTTTCCATGTTCCTCTGCTACCCTCTGCTTGTATTACAAGAGGAAGAAAGAGAAAGAGGGGGGAAATGGATGTCAGTATACCAGAAGGGCCCACAGAGACAGGAGACAGATTACCAGACCTCAGCAGGGAATCCTCTACTCACCTGTTTCTCTGTGTTTCCCCACATCCTAGCTGACAGCCTGGAGGTCACACGGCACAGCATGGAGGTGACAAAGTTGGGGGAAGTGTTACCCTTTCCCTGAGGCCTCCAGATAACCCTCTGGCTCAGTGCCTGGAGATCAAGGGGCAGGAATGGGAGGGCCATGAGCTAAGGATTGCTTCTGGGGACACAAGTAGGCGGTGCAAATTAAAAGACTCTGACATAAGTCAGGGCCCTAGAAAGTGAAAAACTTAAGGTGTATGTGTTTAAGGGTATTATTTCTTAAGAATACAGAAAGAATACCCATCCTGAAGTATTGGGGGACACCATTATGCTTGATTGAGAGGCCTCTCATCTATTTAGGAATGGGTCTCCATTTTTTGTGAAGATGAGCAGGGATGGATCTTTTAAGGAACAGGATGTGAAGTTATAATATGTTTGAGTTAGAGTGTGATTTCTCTGTCTTATTAGGGGTCTTCTCCAAAGCCAAGATCTCTGAACTCTTAAGAGTCCTGTGTCCCAGGGTGTGATGTTTCTGGACTCTTTAGAAGTGTGAACTCTGGGGTGTTCTCCATCCTCACCTCACCCCCAGCCTCCACTGCTAAGTCAGGGAACATTCATCAGCCTCGCTGGCTGCTTTTCTGACCCTGAGCTGAGGCCCTGTCTCTTGTATGGGTTACTTATCTGGCCCATTGGGCATGTAAGTTTGAGATTCTTGTTTCTAGGCACACCCTAGATACCCCCACCACAAACACTCTGTGGTGTGGATACATTTTTTTAGCATATGATTTTTCTTTTTATGTTGTTGTTGTTGTTGTTATGTGCCCTCGAGTCGGCCCCGACTCATAGCGACCCCTCCTTGGGTTTCCGAGGCAGTATCACTACGGAAGTAG